CTCTCTCTCTCTCACACACACACACACACACACACACACACACACACACACACACACACACACACACACACACACATAAAATTAGGGCCTGAGCCATAGCCCAATGAAGCCAATGAGAGCCCGTCCATTGACTTCAGTAGCTCTGGGTCAGGCCATTGGCCTTCAGCTCATTCCAGTGATATCATGGGCTACCCCAGGGGATCAACACCAGTGTTAGTGTTTCAGCTCTTCACACAATACGAACTTTTCTTTCTCTTCAGGCGTGTTCTTAGGCAGCTTCATTGCGTCCTGTTGAGAAACAAACAAGCAGGCATCAGACTGAGGATGCTGGAGATGGAAGAACTATTCCAGATAAAGTTCAGCTCCTTGAGCCTTCACCCTTCCCTACTGCCTGACCCCAGCATGGGCCTGTCGGCCCGAAGGGGGAATGTTCCCATCAGGGCGGTGTGTTCATATCACACCGCTGGTGGAAGTGACACGCCAGACACCCTCCACTGAGGACGCTGCCCTGTGGTGCACAATAAAGTTGCCCAGCAGTTGCTTAGTCACATCAAGGCTGGGGCAGCCCCTCGGTGTTGGAATGAAGGAGACAGAACTGCCTCCCCGGTGCTGCCTTCTCCTCGCCCTTCTGCCTGCCAAGTGCTGGTGCCAGAGGGAATCTGTCCCACTGGGCGTGTGAGGACATTCCTTGGTGTGTCCCTCTACCGGTCACTCTTTGCTGTGACTCTCAGCCTAGCGCCCGTGGGAACGGATGGCGCAGTGCGATCCTGCGACGCCATCCTGGGGAGCCAGAGTGCAAAACCAGGGGGGCAGGGCCCCGGGAGCAGCCCTGGGCACCGGAGCTCAAGCAGGCTGTGGATCTGTAAGGGGCAGGCTCAAATGCCGTGCGGTGCTTTCTCTGCCCCTCGTCCCGGCCCACGTCACCCTCCCAGTCAACTGGTTTGGGCTCGTTCGTTCTGTCGTGGGTCTCTACCCTGCTATGCCCTGGACGGATCTCTGTGCAGGCGGGGTCCTTTGCTTGCCTCTCTCCTCACAGCCTGATCCGTGGAGCTGATCTCTCGGCACAGACAGGACAGCTACACTGGGAGAGATTTGAGGATCCGCCTTTGATGTATCCTGTAAGGTCACTGGAATGGCATCCGGATGGATTCGGTTTATTGTATTCATTTGGCTTTGGAGCTGTTCTTAGTTAGATACAATGCACCTTTCCGGAACTCTGGCTTATCGCATTGTTTGATTTCAGAATTCGGGGCCAGGCCCTCGGCTGGTTGAAATCTGCCCAGGCTCACTGATCTCAATGGAGCTGCAGGGATTCCCATTAGCTGAGGATCGGGTCCTCTCTACCTGTCACCGTGTCTATGCACAAGAGACACCGACAAGCTCAGCCCTCCACCTAAGCAGGGCTCAGTAGGAAATCTACCACAGCCAACTATCAAGGCAGCCAACATTTTGCCGAGAGTCCCCATGTACCTCCTCAGCTTTACCCGAGCGTCAGTGATTAGTATTACACGCTATGGGAACGACCAGAGAGAGCAGGCTTGCGAGCAGGCCGCAGACACAAAGGGGTGAGAAATGGAGAGACGTGCAGCTTGTGCAGTGCTTACAAACCACACTCACCATGTAACTGCTGAAAGCAAGCGAGTCCGTGTCCACCATGACAATCAGCTCATTCATGGCCTGATGGAACGGAGGGATCAGCTTCCTCATGACCAATTCCAGCGCCTCAAACTGACGCTTCCCGGAGGACATCAGCCCCACCATGCAGCCCAGAGCTGCCCCCTGCAAGGAGACATGGCGAAAGCTCCATGCGCGTGCTCTCCTCCAGCCACAAGAGACATTAACCCGAGCGGATTGCCATTGCCATTCCTCCCGTGACACACACGCCACCATGCCCGCCACTGGGCAAAGAGCCCCGACCTGCCCAGGGAGAGTGCAGCGAGACCCTCCCAGGAAGGACGAGGATTCTTGGGCACTAAAGAACCAGCCAGGAAGTGCTACTCGGAAGAGAGCTGAATGTGAAGCCAGCAGTGAGACCATCCCAGGAGCAGAGGGAAGTAAAGGCAAGTGAGTCCAACAGTTGCCACGTATCACTTTCACTGGGCCACCGAGGAGGCTGATTTGCCACGTGCCATTGCCAAGCAGCCCACCAGCCCAGAGTGCACTCTGCACTGCCCCACAGCTGCTGGAAGGGGGCGCCTGGCTTGTGGGGCTTCCTCCGTGACCTCAGCCAGGTGGCTACACTGGCCCAAATGCAAAGGAATTATTTGTCAAAGGTGATGAACACCAGGGTCTGAATGAGCTCTCCCCTGCCATCAGGAGCAGGCCACGTTTGCAGAGGTGCCAAAGTGATTGATTTTGGCTGTTTTGGATTTAGTGTTGGACATGGGGTAATGAAATGTTGTTCTCCTTATTGTATGAGTAAAGGGCAGCAAAACAGCAGTTAATATGCCCTACTTGAGGGGGGGTCACCCTCACATGCTAAGCACAGGTAGTGATGCCAAAGCCAAGTCAGAGGGGGGTGGGAACAGATGATCACAAGAGCCGAAATCCTTGATGAGCAGGTTTAAGGGCGGAGCCTTTGACCCGATGTGGGGACAGTGCTGTGGTGAAAGACAACGCAGGGGCTGCAGCTGGAGGGCGGTTCCCCACTAGCTGGTGAAGTCCCTAAGCAGCAGGCCAAGGGATGGAACCGCAGAACATGGCACAGCAGCTAGAGGGAGCAGCGAGGGGCAAGCTGCAGGGGTGGAGGCAGCAGAGACAGCGGTGAACATGGCAAAGGTGGCAGCAAGCAGCAGAGACAACAGTAGCAGCAAGTGAGCAGCTGCAGAGGTCGTACTCGATCCCCCTTCCGGGGGGGGGATGAACCGTGTGACCACGCCCCAGAATTCTGGGACTTGGCTGACCTCAGACAACTAGCTGAAAGGGGGTGCGGTGGAGGGGAAAGGGCAGCAGTGTGTTCAAGGGGCATTCATCCATTGGACTTTCACACGGCAGGGAGGGGAACTGAGGCAAAATACACAGCCCAGGGTATGCAGGTGGGTGTTTACTCATTGTTTGCATCCTTTTGAATCACTGTTGCTGAGTTTTCCTAAATTAGTGCTGTGATCCCTCCGTATAACAAAAGAAAATGTGTGTCGAGGGGAAAGACTCAGGGCTTGCGAGAGGGGAGGAATGGCCTCTTCGAGTCACCCGGGGCGGTGTGCAGTTTTCTGGATGGGGGCTCGAGCCAGTTCTGGTCCATTGTTAAGAGAAACCCCTGTTGCTGCCAATGCCCCCTGGCAGACGGGCTACAGTTTCTCCTACTACTCACTTGTGGACAGTGTCAGGGTTTGACTCAGAGTGGGCTCCCACCGCACCCAGCACAGGCTCTCCACCCCGCTGCGAAGCCGTCGCCCTGCTGTATCACAGGAGAGCCGAGCGTGAACCTACCAGAGCAGACATTGCCGCAGACACCGATCCTCCCCCGGGAGCTGCTGACCTCGCCCCAACGGCACGCACGAACGCGTGGAGTGACTTGGACACCAAGTCTCCGTCTGCCTGGCCACTCTGCACCAGGTACCTGCCAACAGCAAATCAGGATGAGCTCAGCCCAGTCCCGCTCCAGGCCGCTAGTGTCAAGCAAATGCAGGGAAGCCAGGCTCTCTGAGCAGCCCCAACCATGCTCCCACGGCTCTTCCAAGCACGCCCCCGATAATTCCTTTACCAGAAACCTGAACCGGGTCCCGCGTGGCACCCTCAGGCCTTGACCATCACAGCCAGGAGCCACATTGAATTCACTGGGCCTTTGGGGGCTGTATCTGCCGAGAGAAACTCCACCCCAGTTTGGGAGATCGAAACCAGCAGCAGCCTGTCCTGAAGGAGAGCTGCTTATTCCAGGGCCTGCGTGGGGGAGCCCTTGGTGCAGAGGTTCTCAAACTGGGGGTCATGACCCCACAGGGGGTCACAAGGTTATTACATGGGGGGGTCGCGAGCTGTCAGCCTCCACCCCAAACCCCGCTTCACCGCCAGCATTTATAATGGTGTTAAATATATAAACACGTGTTTTTAATTTCTAAGGGGGGTCGCACTCAGAGGCTCTCTGTATGGAAAGGGTCACCAGTACAAAGGTTTGAGAACCCCTGCCTTAGTGGGGACATTTCTGGCAGGAAGGGACCGTTCCTCTCTCCTGCAACGCATGAACCATCCCCACAAAAATCCTACTCTTCCCCTTTAAAAATCCCCTCCACTGCTCTGAGCAGAGGCGTCCTGGAGCTGGCAGCAGTGCCGTGGAATGAGAGGAGCTGCTCTCAGGGGCAGAGACTGGACTGGGCACTGCCACTTGCCAGGGCATCCTCCCCGACCCCACGGGGAATGGCCATGCTGCTCTTCTCAGGGGAGAGCCACCGGCTGGGCTCAGCCTGCAATGGCCAGTGGTGGGTGAGGGCGGGAGGGAGGCCAGTGGAGGGTATCCAGCTACAGAACAGACCTTCGGAGTCTGACCAGCTCTAGGAAACACTGCAAACCCTTCCTCTTGGAAACAGCCCTTCCACAATGAGCCAGAGACTCCAGGAAGTCCTCTAGGAACTTTGCTCTTGCTAATGACTTTACATGGAAGGTGCTAGATACTATGGTGAAGGGAAGCAGAATACAACCCTGCAGGTGTGTCTGCACTGCGATGGGCAGGTGGGAGAGCAGCTGGCACGTTAAACCAGGTATGCTGATTACTAAGCAAACCCTGGGTGCTCCTGATGGTGCAGTTTAAACCCAGCAGTTCATTGTCCAGTACTAGAACTGGGCAGAAACTGGAATTTCTGTTCCGTGGGAAATTCTGACATTTGGGGGGGGGGGGAAATGTTCTGAATTGGAACAAAAAGCCAAAATTTTGAAATTTTTCAGAAATCAAAATTCTGAAAAAGTTTGATTTGGGAAATGAAAAGTTTCATTTCAATAAAGTCAGATTGTTTTGTTTCGATAAGGTCAAAATGTGTCATTTTGACAGTGTTTCATTTTATTTTTAATATATGTCAAATATTAAATGTAACATACATTATATTTAATTAAAATCTTAAATTCAAAACAAAGTTAAAGTGATAAAACTGAACCAAAACCTTTTTACCTTATCTAAATGAAACACTTCAGGGTTATTGAAACAAAATGAGACAATCAAAGCGATTCTTTTCGACTTTTTCCCATCAAAAATGTTGAAATCAACGTTTCATTGGGCAGCCAGGAGCATTTTAAACCCTATAGCAGGCCTGCACAACATGCGGCCCGTGTGGGCTCACTGTGCAGCCCGCGGGGGGTGAGTAGGCAACCAACGGGTGAGGGAGGGGGGCCAGGGAGGCGAGTGGGCAGTGGCGGGGGGTGAGTAGGTGAGCCGAGGAGGTGGGGAATGAGGAGGCGAGCGGGCGGGCAGTGGCGGAGGTGCAGGTGAGCAGGCGGTGCGGGGCAGGGGTTGAGGAAGCAAGCAGTGACTTGATGGCTGACCTGGTCTACTGATCTGGTCTGGCTCCCATCCCCTCTCCAAGGGTTGCAGCTGTCTGGAGGTGCTGCCTTCCATGCCTACCACATTCATTCAACAGGGCAATTGATTACAAAGTGGGGGGAAGATCTTATTCTACTTCTAGCAAAAAGACATTTTTCTTTTACCTTAATTATACTATCTTAGGAGCCCGCTATAACATATTACAAAGGTTCAATACTGCTGTTTTTTAAATTAATGGAGATATCCCATCTCCTAGAACTGGAAGGGACCTTGAAAGGTCATTGAGTCCAGCCCCCTGTCTTCACTAGCAGGACCAAGGACTGATTTTTGTCCCAGATCCCTAAGTGGCCCCCTCAAGGACTGAGCTCACAACCCTGGATTTAGCAGGCCAATGCGCAAACCACTGAGCTATCCCTCCCCCCGTTCCCCAGTGGTGCTGGGGAAGGAGGGTTTGTTTCCACGGGGTGGGCGGCGCTGAGGGGGGGAGTTTCGGGGGGGCTGGGCAGCGCTGGGGGTTGTTTCCACGGGGCGGGCGGCACTGTGGGGGGTGTTGTGTTTCGGGGGGGCTGGGTAGCACTGGGGGGGGGGTGGTTTCGGCAAGGCCGGGGGGGGTTCGGCCCTCAGCTGTTTTTTTTGGAGTAATATGGCCCTCGCAGCTTTACAAGTTGTGCAGGCCTGCCCTATAGGAATACAAATCAGTTCCTAATGGCATCCCAGGAAGAATGTGCTACTTTGGGGTCTGACAGAGCAACAACAAATTGAGTCCACAGCTATTCTCAGAGACTCATGGGCAGGCACCCGGGCTCCCTCCATCGTGCGTGTTACAAGCAAGGAGAGTGACAAAGAAAATGGACAAGGTGCCATACTCAATAATGCGCTCGTGGGGGTTAAATGGAGACAAGGAATCCAGGCCCAGGCGGCTGACTACCTGAAATGAAGAAAGACAAATTCATCAAGGCAGAGTCGACATATTAGCCTTGCTCACTTCTGGGGGAGAATATTCAGTTCCAAGGCTCATCGGATGACCAGGAATTCTGAGCGAGTGATTTGATGTAACTATCCAGCCAGAAAGGACTGGCCTCACTTGGGACACTTGGGTCATGTACACGTTTCTACAAATCAATGTTACGTTTTTACAAGGAACAGTACCAAAGCTAGTAACTTACAATTGGTTCCAGCCATGAGTATGTTCTGATATCCATCCACGCTGTCCGTCATCATCATCATCATCATCGTAATTAACTAACTCTTATCTAGGGCTTTTCACCCATCCTATTCAAAATACCTTAGCAAGACATTAACCCTAAGTGTGATATCAAGCTAAACAAAACTGGTCATTTTTGGTTCTAACGAAGCGTGGCATGGCATTTGAAATACAGCATCGTGTCTTTAAAACCCTCAAACCTGATTAATTTTCCCTTTGTATATTATTTTTTGAGGGGCACCCATACATCATCATACCTACCACGTGGGAAATGAATTATCCCATGGGCCAAGGAAACAGTTCCCATTTGGGTAAGGCTCTGGGAAGCTCCTGTAGAGTTTTAATGAACCCAATACATACAGAAATAGTTTCCTTAAGGGCATTAAGCAGGTTGCTTTCCCACACTGCACTTCTCCAACCTCTCAAGTCACTGAACATCCCTTTGGAACCTAACCCAATGAATGCTGTCTCATTCGCAGGAATAAGTCCTTCTTCAGAATGTCATTGGGAGTTTTATCTGCCTCAGGGGCTTGGTTTGGTTTCTGAGCAAGGGAATAAATAGGAACTTCCAAATCTTTCATATTCTCTGGTGGGAAAGGACAAGACGGATCTGATTTTGCTCCATTGCTTTTTGCCTGACCCTCGGTGACCCTCTGTGCCCCAAAACAACACCCTGGCACCCCCATATTCATCACTGTCATACAATTAGGCTATGTTTTGTACAAAGTATGCCTTGTGAGGTATCATGCTAAAAGTCTTGATCTGTTGAACATTAATATCCTGTTTGGTTTATGTGCTGTCATTGTATGTGAAGTTATGAAGTTTTGCTATGTGTGTGTTGCTGAAATATGTCGTGAGGCTGGGAACACCCACAACCAGCCTTTCAGGTACAACAATGAAGAAGCTACACAGTACTAATGGCCCCATTAAGGGGAATCTACACACCCAGGGACTATCGCAGGAATTGTTTACAATGGAGGTTTCCCAGAGGGATCACCTGGGCAATGGAAGATGCTTGACCAGGGGCAGTGGGAGAGGGGAGCAGACCCCCATGTCATGAGCAAAGATCTTCCCAGCAAGCTGGAAGAAGCTATAAAAGAGGGGAAGTGACATCATCACTTGGCCTCACTCCCCTTGCACCGGAACACCTGGAAACACCTTAGGAACAAAGACTGAACGGGAAAGGAGGTCCCTCGTGGGACAGAAGAATTCCAGCCTGTGTATGTAAAAGCTGTAACCTGCTTGTACTAGCTAACAGGGTGAGACACTGCTTGATTCAAAACCTATCTAGTTTATAAAGTTTAGATTCCATTTTTGTTTTATTTCTTAGGTAATCTGCTTTGATCTGTACACTCAGTACTTATAAATCACTTAAAATCTATCTTTCTGTAGTTAATACATTTGTTTTATATTTTTTACCTATAACAGTGTGTTTTGCTAGAAGTGCTTGGGGAATCTGCTGAGGAACAGAAACTGGTGCATGGTCCTCTCCACACTGAGAGAGGGGAGGACTGAGTAATAAACTTATACTGGTCAGGCCTTTGACCAGGGCAAGACGGTACAGCTCTGGGGTCCTAGGCAGTGGAGCTGGTGGGGATCTGTCTGGAACCTCTCTATTGTTAATTCATGAATGGCTGAGGAGAAGCATTCATGTAACTGCAGCTGGGTGTGTCCCTGCCTGTGTAGATGTTTGTGGGACTGCAGGACCGGGAGCGGTCTGAAGCTTTTCACAGCGTCACCCGGATTGGTATGTCAGAGGGCTCAGCAATACCCCAGTTCCAGGCTGCACCCTGGGGAAACCCGTCACACCCTTCCACAGGCAAGAAGCTGCCAGCTCAGCCGCTATCATTTGCAGTTCCCTCCAGGGAAAGATTTCTGAGCAGGGATGTCAATGGACGCTGGCCTTACCAGTCTGATTTTCTGTTCCTCCTCCAGGATGAAGAGGTTTTCTTTCTGAATGTAATACTCCGCTGCATCAAGCATGGCCTTCTTGGGGACAAGCCCCACCAGCTGGGAGCCCACCACAGGCAGGCTCAGCTCCTGCAAACAAGGACTAGCATTTAACAGGCCTCTAGCATTACAGTCCCACTGTCTGGCCACCTCTCCCACTGCCCCCGACTCCTGATCCGCGCCAAGGGGTGCACCGGAGTCGAGCAGGACCTTCCCATTCTAGGGGTTGGGACTCATAGTCAGAGATCTCACTTTGCTGGTCCTTCCTGCTGCTGTTTGGGCCCAGCCAACTGACCCCTCACTCCCATTCGCAGCACATAGGATCTGCACAGCTGGTCACCTGCTCGCCTCCCCTCCCCCAGTTCTACAGCAGCGGGACCTTAATGTCACCACGGGGGCCTGCTGCCACCACGCCCCTCACTCCGAGGGGTAGACATCCCAGTGTGCCTGGTGCTTATGGGGAAATGCCATGGAAGGCCGTACATGGGTGGGAGGGAGTGGGCTGGCTGGCTGGCTCCCTAAGGGATAAGAAGTAGGTGTATGCCATTTAGCAGCCTCCTGAAAAAATAGGAGGAGCAGAGGATAGCTGGCAACTCACCAAACGAGGCCATCTGGGCTCCCTCCCGAAAGGCACTGAAGGTAGGGTACAGAAGCAGAGGGGACCCCACAAATAACCTTGGCGTCCAGGGTGTTCCCTGTATATGCTCATAGATCTTAAGTCTAGGCCAGCAAACTTGGACATGCCGCTGTCCCACGCCACGTGACTGACAGTCCGGAGGGGACGGTGCAGCAGCTGGCATGTCTCATGAGGCACACATTCCAGCTCCCTTAATGCCTTAAGTGTGGAGGGTAGGTTGTGGCTCCCTGTGTATTCACACACACCCTCCTACAAGACAAGCTCTCATGGCATAGGCATGAGGACTTTCTCTTGCTCCACCAGCCACGGGCACTTTGACTGGAATTTTACTTCTCTGAAGGAGGCTGGTTGCGCTGGTTAAAGCTGCTTCAAACTTGCATTGCACCTGTGCAACTCACCCGGGCGTCTTTGCAGACCTCCTCATAGACCGTGTGGAGGGAAGTGATTTCAAAGTCCAGCAGGTTTATAGAAACCTGGGCAATATTCTCCTCATCCAAGTACCAGCCCATGCCTTGGACCTTCTTCAAACGCCCAGGCTGAAAAGAACAACACAATTCAGAGCTGTGATGGCTGATGAGCCAACTCAACCCTGGGAATAAGCCTGCAAGAGAGAAAGCATTCTGCAGATGAGGGGAACTGACTGATACACAACTGGAGGTCACTAGCCCACAGCTGTAAATATTCAGGTTTGCTGATGATCCGGAAGTAGCAGCAGCCAGATATTGTACTGTGAAGGAAGAAGAGTCCATACTGATAATGGATAAAGTTGCCTTCATATTTACTTGTACAGATTTAATGGAGTGGGACTATGCCCCTTGCCGACTCCCCTCTAGTTATTTGTTCTGCTCCATTGGTTGCATGGGGCCTTGCATACTAATAGAAATGGCAGGTCCCTGTCCTGAGGAACTTACAGGCTAAAGACTGTGGGCACAGATAAGAACATAACAACATAAGAATGGCCATACTGGGCCAGACCAAAGGTTCATCTAGCCCAGTATCCTGACTTCTGGCAGTAGCCAATGCCAGGTGCCCCAGAGGGAATGAACAGAACAGATGCTCCATCCCCTGTCACCCATTCCCAGCTTCTCGCAAACAGAGACTAGGGACACCATCCATGTCCTCCTTGCTAATAGCCATTAATGGGCCTATCCTCCATGAACTTATCTAGTTCTTTTTTGAATCCTGTTATAGTCTTGGTCTTCACAACATCCTCTGGCAAGGAGTTCCACAGGTTGACAGTGTGTTGTATGAAAAAATACTTCCTTTTGTTTGTTTTAAATCTGTTGCCTATTAATTTCATTCGGTGACCCCTAGTTCTTGTGTTACTCTTGTGAGGAGTAAATAACACTTCCTTATTTACTTTCTCCACACCAATCATGATTTTATGGACCTCTATCATCTCCTCCTAGTCATCTCTTTTCCAAGCTGAAAAGTCCCAGTCTTATTAATCTCTCCTCATATGGCAGCCGTTCCATACCCCTAATAATTTTTGTTGCCCTTTTCTGAACCTTTTCCAAGTCCAATATATCTTTTTTGAGATGAGGCGACCACATCTGCACGCAGTATTCAAGATGTGGGCATACCATGGATTTATAAAGAGGTGATAAGATGTTTTCTGTCATATTATCTATCCCTTTCTTAATGATTCTCAACATTCTGTTCACTTTTTTGACTGCCACTTCACATTGAGTGGATGTTTTCAGAGAACTATCCACAATGATTCCAAGATCTCTTACTAGAGTGGTAACAGTGGTAACCCCATCATTTTATAGCTATAGTTGGGATTATGTTTTCCAATATGCATTACTTCGCACATATCAACACTGAATTTCATCTGCCAGTTTCAGAGGGGTAGCCGTGTTAGTCTGAATCTGTAAAAAGCAACAGAGGGTCCTGTGGCACTTTTGAGACTAACAGAAGTACTGGGAGCATAAGCTTTTGTGGGTAAGAACCTCACTTCTTCTGCCAGTTTGTTGCCCAGTCGCCCAGTTTTGAGAGATCCTTTTGTAGCTCTACACAGTCTGCCTGGGTCTTAACTATCTTGAGTAGTTTTATATCATCTACAAATTTTGCCACTCTCTGTTTACCCTTTTTTCCAGATCATTTATGAATATGTTGAATAGCACTGGTCCCAATACAGACCCTGAGGGACACCACTATTTAGCTCTCTCCATTCTGAAAACTGACCATTTATTCCTACCCTTTGTTTCTTATTTTTAACCAGTTACCAATCCATAAGAGAACCTTCCCTGTACCCCATGACAGCTTACTTTGCTTAAGAGCCTTTGGTGAGAGATCTTGTCAAAGGCTTTCTGAAAATCTAAGTTCACTATATCCACTGGATCCTCCTTTGTCCACATGCTTATTGACCCCACTCAAAAAATTCTAGTAGATTGGTGAGGCATGATTTCCCTTTACAAAACCCATGTTGACTTTCCCTCAAAAAATTATGTTCATCTATGTGTCTGACAATTTTGTTCTTTACTATCATTTCAACCAGTTTGCCCAGTACTGAAGACAGGCTTACCGGCCTGTAATTGCCGGGATCATCTCTGGAGCCCTTTTTAAAAATTGGCATCACATTAGCTATCCTCCAGTCATTTCGTACAGAAACTGATTTAAATGGTAGGTTACATACCACAGTTAGTAGTTCTGCAATTTCATATTTGAGTTCCTTCAGAACTCTTGGGTGAATACCATCTGGTCCTGGTGACTTATTACTGTTTAGTTTATCCATTTGGTGCAAAACCTCCTCTAATGATACCTCAATCTGGGACAGTTCCTCAGATTTGTCACCTAAACAGAATGGCTCAGGTTTGAGAATCTCCCTCATATCCTCAGCCGTGAAGACTGATGCAAAGAATTCATTTAGTTTCTCCGCAATGGCCTTATCGTCCTTGAATGCTCCTTTAGCATCTCCATCGTCCAATGGCCACACTGGTTGTTTAGCAGGCTTTCTACTTCTCATTTACTTTAAAAAAAAATTGCTATTACTTTTTGGCTAGCTGTTCTTCAAATTCTTTTTTGGCCTTCCTAATTATATTTATGCACTTCATTTGCCAGAGTTTATGCTCCTTTCTGTTTTCCTTGATAGACTCACTGCTTCTTTTACTTTGTTGTTTAGCCATGGTGGCACTTTTTTGGTTCTCTTACTATATTTTTTAATTTGGGGTCGGTGGTTCCATGTTATGCCTGCTCTGCTCATATTTTGCATTCCAGTACAATACTCCGCAGTGCATTTTCACATGCTATGCTAACAAAGACCTTAAGCTCTCCTGCCAGACTGACTGAGGGTATTTCCACACTGCACTAGGAAGTATGTGGCAGCTTTGATCTTGCTAGAGAACAACAGCAGTGAAGTTGCAGCATCACAGACTGTAAAGGCCACGTGGGACCCTGGGTGTGTATATCAGTGACTAACCCATGCTGCTCAGCTACACTGCTATTGGTACCCACTCTATCTAGATCAAAGGAAGCTTGGGTTTGTCTTCAAATGCTGCAGTCACCCCTCTGATTGCAGGGTAGACAGACCCACAGCCTAGCTCCAGCAAACACGTGTTTTATGCTGAAAGCAACGTGGCCAGAGAAACCAGTAACGTTCCTCCCAACAAAAAATCAATCAAACAAACAAACAAATACATCCTGTTTTATTTATGATGACAGCCTTGGCATCCAGCCTCCCATTGCTCAGCCCCAGAAACCCACCCTCAATCTCCTTCCAGATGGATCCCTCTAATCGCCTGCTCAGATACACTCCCATCCTTTGGAGCACTTGATTCCCACTGTCAGACAAGGGAGCCCAGCCTGAAATCTCTCCTGTCTGTGAGCTCAGCAGGGCCCCCACTTTGGCAAGTGACCCCTGCTGCTCTCAGGCTGTGGGGTCACATGAGAGATTGACAAGGCAATTCTATAAAGTGCAAAGTAGCTCTGGGCGCTGGGGAGTCATAAGCAGCTTCCCTTCTTTCCCAGGGACAGTAGATGGGTCCTCAGACAAGGCTCGGGGATGGCCCTGGGGGATGACTCAACTGACACACTTAGAACATGGGATACTCCACTCCCATGTACAGAGTTTGATGAAACAGAACAACAGACACCACCCCAACGGGAACCAAGTACACACCTGCAGGGACATCATGCCTGCCCTTAGCCAGAGAGCACCATCATATACTATAAATGGGTAGATATGTCAAGGAATATAGGAACCACCTTACATTAATCAAAGCCTCATATGCTCTTCACCTCAAAGGTCATTTGTTGCCTGCTCAAACAAGCCAATGTTGCTATAATAAAGGTTGCATTTACCCAGCTTACTCTGATCTAAGAACCCTAAATTCCTCCTCCCCTAGAACCATAATTCAGCAGCATGAAAATAGCTGAGAGGGGCAGTAGACCTGTACAAGCCCAGTTTGTAATTTTTGTACAGATCAATTCAGGTGTAGCCTGTAACACAAACTGGCACCAGTCTCCCTTCCTCTGGGACAGCAAAATTGGACAAATCCGGAGAATTGTGGAATTAGGAGTGGGTGGGAGAGGGATTTATTCATTTGTTTATTTTTGAGCCAACGCTCTAGTTATCCAGTGCCCTCTCCCAGTGAAGCCTGATTATTCTGAATAAGGAACTTAATGGGCTTACCTGGTCCTTCGCGCGGCCCTGCTCCCGGATGTTGAGAGCAATCCGATGCGCCAGCTCCTTTGTGCACAGGAGGTTGATGTTGTACGCAATGAGGAATGTACGCGCACCAGTGACTGTGGCTCCCCATCTTGGAACAAAGGACGCGGAGCCAAAATCAGGAGCCCACTCGGCCTTTGTGAGCTTAGAAGAGAGTGAAAGAAAGGAACGAAATCCATTGAAAAGAAACTCCTCATCGTTTAAGGTCAGCCGGGTTTATTTGTCACTCCAGAGAGCTGGCTGCAAGTTAATTCAGAATTCGTAGACCGTCCAGCCAGAAATGGCCATTAGGCTCTCCAGTCTGTGTAATGCAGGCTGGAGAACCTCAGCCCATCATTCTGGCAGGACGCTCAGGGACCTGTGGCAGAGCTAGAGCAGATCGTTTCGAGACCATCCAGTCGCTCTTGGGAATCAGCACAGGAGACATGGCGCATTCTTCACTCAGCGCTATTCCACGCCCAGTCTCCAGTATTGTGTGTTAGTGTGTGTGTTCCGCTGGAGCCAAGAGCCCCAATCTTAGCACAAGGCAAAACAACGTCTGGCTCAAACAAATGACTGGGGTGGAGAGGAAGGACAAGGCCACAATGGAACCACCACGCTGAGCACAGTCCGCAGCAGCTTCAGCGCAGCACGCCGGCTGCCTAGCCAAAAGAACGTGTTCTGAGTGCACACAAAGCATCTGGGAAATTCCTGAACCCTCTTCTCCCCATGACCCAGCACAACCAGCTTTATTAACCTTTCCTCAAATTTCTCCTAACGCCCCCTCTTGGCTGATACCAAACAAGAGACATTCAGCCCCTATGGGAGACTCTAAGAAACTATTAGGAAATGAAAACAGGAGCTCACAGAGCTGCCAAGTTCTGTACAGCTCCGTGGGCCGCGTGTCTTACCAGCAACCAACCATTGCTGACTCCCTCTGGGCACCCCGGGCCGTGGGACAGGTCTGGTGGGGAGGTACAAGCCATCCCTCACACCATGGAGAAGGTAGTGACGGGGGACTGGGGAGATGCAGGGGGCGCTTGGCGAATGGGGCAGCCAGAGTGAATGGGGAGCCATTGATTCACAGATCCATAGAGCTTAAGGCCAGAAGAGACCATCAGATCATCTCTTGTGACCTGGGCAAAGAAGTCCCGCAGTTACCCCTATATTGATCCCAATGACTTGTGCTTGGCTAAAGCCAATCTCTTCAACAGGCATCCAGTCTGGAGTGGAAGACATCAGGAGATGAAGAATCCACCACTTCCCTTGGTGGTTGGCTCCAATGGCTAATCACCCTCATTGTTAACAATCGGTGCCATACTTCTCCTTTGCATTTGTCTAGTTTTAGCTTCCAGCCATTGCTGTTTGCTCTGCCTTGCTCTGCTAGACTAAAGAGCCCTTTAGTACCCAGTATTTTCTCCTGATGAAGATACTGGGTATCAAGTCACCTCCCAGTCTTCTTTTTGATAAGCTAAACAGACTGAGCTCATTAATCTCCCACTGTACAGCATTTTCTTCAGGCCTCGGATCATTTTTGTGGCTCTTCTCTGCACCCTCTCCAATTTTCCAACATCCTGTTTAAAACGGGGACCCCAGAACTGGGCACAGTATTCCAGCATTGTCTCACCAGTGCCATGTACAGAGGTAAATCACGGCCCTACTTCTCCGCACTCCCCTCTCTACACATCCCAGGATCGCATTAGCCCTTTCTGTATCACCATCACACCGGAGCTCACGTTGAGTTGCTTTCCACCCTCCTTTCAGCGTCACGGCTCTCCAGGTCACAGCGCCCCACCCTGTCGGTATCCCTTCTTCAGAGATGTATACAACTTTCTATTTGGCTGTATTAAAAAGCATTTTGTTTAAATGGGCCCAGCTTACCAAGTGATCCAGATCACGCGGTATGACTGCCTTGTCCTCACTATTTACCACTCCACCAATCCTTGTGTCATCTGCCAATTTGCTCAGCAGTGATTTTATATCTACTTCCAGCTCAATGATGGAAATGTTGAGCAGCATCAGGCCTAGTGCCGATCCCAATGTAACCCCGCTGGGAACCGCCCCATTTGATGGGGATTCCCCATTGACAACTACCCTGTGCGATCTGTCCGTTAGCCAGTCCTTCATCCACTACCAGGCGCTATTGATGCTGCAGAGTGCTAATTTCAAACAGTGTTGTGTGGTACAAAGTCAACTGCCTTCCAAAAGTCAGTGTGTATTACCACAGCTACACTGTTACCTGCATCAACCAAACGTGTGAGCTCCTTAAAGAACGACAATAGGTGTGTTTGACATGACCTATTTCCATAACACTGCCTTGAGTGGCAGTAATTATATACCTGTCCTCAAAAGCTGTATTGATCGAGTCCCATATCAGCTCTCCCACTGAGGACCAGGGGATTTCAGGGAGTCAGAGACTGACTTTGGAGGAAGAAGCCAGGGGGCTTGGTTGGAGACGGGAGAAGGATTGAGGGAGGGCCTGAGACAACTAGGAGACATTTCTGGGATGAGGCCTGTAGAAGCTGTGGGCCAGGAGATCATTCGGATGAGGCCTGTCACAGCTGGCGGGAGGGGGTTGTTGGGATGAGGCCTGTGGCAACCGCGGAGTAGAGGGGTCGTTGCGATGAGGCCTCTGGCAGCTGGGGAGTGGGGAGGTCGTTGGCTTGAGGCCTGTCACGAGTGAGGGGTGGGGGGCCGTTGGGATGAGACTTTTGGCAGCTGGGGGGCCAGGGGTTCATTGGGATGAGGCCTGTGGCAGCGGGGGCCAGGGCCGGGGGGTCATTGGCATGAGGCCTGGGGCAGCTGGGGAACTGTGGGGTCATTGGGATGAGGCCTGTCACAGCTGGGATTCAGGGGGGTCATTGGGATGAGGTCTGTGGGATCTCGGGGCAGGAGGTCGTTGGGATGAGGCCTGGGGCAGCTTGGGGGCAGGAGGGTTGTTGGGATGAGGCCTGTCACAGCTGGGGGGCAGGAGGGTTGTTGGGATGAGGCCTGTAACAGTTGGGGGTAGGTGGTCGTTGGGATGAGGCCTGTGGTAGCTGGGGGGCAGGGTGATTGTTGGGATGAGGCCTAGGGTTGGCAACCCTCCCAGTTTTGCTGGGAGTCTCTCGGAATCGGGCTCTATCTCTCGGAGGCTACTGCAGCCAAACCGGGAGATTTTAGGGTGCTAAAAGTATGGTGGTGCAGCTGGGTTAAGGCAGGCTCCCTGTCTGCCCTGGCCCCATGCTTTTCCTGGAAGCGGCCAGTACGTCACTGTGGCGCCTCAGGGGCAGGGGTCTCCTTGCGCTGCCCACCCCCCGAGCACCGATTCCACAGCTCCCATTGGCTGGGAATTGCCCCCAATGGGATCCGTGGGGGCAGTGCCTGCAGGCAGGGGTAGCGCACGGAGCCCACTTCCCACCCTCCGGGGGCTGTAGGGATGTGCCGGCCGCTTCCAGGAGCGTTGCCAGGCCAGGCCAGGCAGGGAGTCTGCCTTAACCTAGCTGCACTGCCGACCGGGACCCACTCAAGGTAAGAGCCACCCGGTCGGAGCCCGCACCCCTCACCCCCTCCCGCACCCCAACCCCCTCCCCCAGCCCTGAGCCCCCTCCAGCACCCAAACTCCCTTCCAGAGTTTGCACCCCACACCCCTTCCTGCACCCCAACCCCCTGCCCCAGGCTCAGCCTGAAGCCCCCTCCCACACTCCAAACTCTTTGGCCCCAGCCCAGAGCCCGCATCCCCTCCCACACCCGAACCCCCGTCCCAACCCGGTGAAAATGAGTGAGGGTGAGAGAGAGCGAACGATGGTGGGATGGGGGAGGGAGGGAGGGAGAAGCATGGGG